CCAGACCCGCCAGGCCGTGCCCTACGTTACCCTCTCACAGCAGGAGAAGGTGAGGCCCGCTCCTTCCTCTTCCTCACAACCCCGGGGGGGGGGCGGGGTGCCGTCGGGTGTCCCCACCGGCTGCTCTTTCCTTGGGAAAGACCAGTCGCCTCTTCCCTCGGGGAGAAGGTGGCCACCTCCTTCTCCGGGCAGCCCTTCTGCCATCCCCGCATCGTCTCCGTGCTCCGCTTCCCGGCCTTGGTTTTAAAAGTGGACGGGTCTCGCTGCTTCCTCCGCTCTCCTGCCTTCCAGCTTCCTTTACCCCACCCGTCTTCTGCGAGGCTTTGACTTCGGGGTCTGCGTCCCTGCCTCCCTCAGAACATCTCATGGCATAGCCCTGCTGGGTTTGGGTCTGTGGTGGTACTGGTTGAGCTGGAGATCTTCAGCCGGCACCAGATAAGGATGCTCCGGTGGGGGAACCACCAGCGGCCCTGGTTTGTCCGACCTGGTGGTGGTATTTGTCACGACGTTCTGACCCAAAAAGGTGGTTGCTTCTGCCTTGACCCGTCTCCTCTTCTTCGTTGGCCGAGTCGCAACGCCTCCTCTCATCTCGGGGAACTCACTGCGAGAGAAGCGCTTGTCAGACTGGTTCCCGTGTCTCTGCAGGCTTGGTTGGGCTCGCTACCAAGAAGACATCCGTCAATTGTCCTCTCTATGAGGAGAGCTTAACCAGTTTCTTCTGGGCTGAGGGCCAGCGCTCCTGCCCATAAAACACGTCTGAGCGTGTAGGTTGTTTAGCTCCGAACTGGGGCTTCGCCACGCTCCCTCTTTCCCTCTTCTTCTGGGTCCCTTGGGCTTAGGATGGGATCTTCTCTGCCTGTGCTGGTCCCAGGCAGGAATGGGGGCCCCAAGACTTTGTGGGACCCCAAGATCTTTGGTCGCTGGTGGCATCCCCTCTGTGCCTGAGGAGGGTTGTTGGGAGTTTTACTCCAGGGCTGGGTGAGGAGACAGGAGCCGCTTCCTGGCATCAGTTCTGAGGGAACTTTGGAGCTGGGGCCCTTCTGGGAAAAAGATGATGTTTCCCAGGCTCGGGCAGGCAAGTGGTGGTTGGTTGCTCCTCCCGAGCTGTCAGTGCTACAAACCCTCGTCCTCCTGGAGGCAAGTGAAATCATTATAAGCCTTGCTCTGTCAGCGCTCCCTCGAGTCCCCCCACCTCGTATTGCAGGGACCTGTTGCCACTGGCTCTGTGTGAAGTATCTTAACTCTTCCTCTTGGTCAAGTCTCATCTTCTAGAGCGGCAAGGCTTAATATCAGGCCCCGGTTGTGGGGTACTCTTTCTTCCTGGCACCCCACCGCTGTACACGAGCGGTCCAGACGCCTTTCCTCCTGCCTTTGCTTTGGTTTTCTGAGTGGAGAACTGATTTGGGTGGAGCCACAGGGAGGCTGCGCTCGGCGCTGAGGCCGGTCAACAGCTTCCAGCTCAGTGCCTGCCAGCACAGCTGTGGAGCACAGAAGTTTGGAGAGGTGCCCTGAGCTCGGTGGAACAAGGTTTTGTCTCAGGAGCGCTTCAATCTGGCTGAAGAACAAGCTGCAAGCAGGAAGATGGCTGGCTGGCTATAACTTCCCACCCCTCTTTATGTGGTCCCTGTGGTTATAACCATGCCATGAGTGAACTATGAGGAGATCCAGATGCAATTTCCCCGCTCTCCCCTGCCCCCCCTTCTGTGTTGTCCCAGAAGACGGGGCATCTGTGCTGGAAATAGAGATTCTGCCCCATCCCACAAAGCTGCCCCCTCTGTGCCAGCTGTGTTCGTGTCTTTTCTTCCTCCTGTTGCTTTTTAGTATGGGAGAAGGATCTGAGAGGAGTTTTGTTCCAACCTTCACAGCTCTTCTGGGTGCTAGGACTCTTCTGCCAGACTTTCCCTCCTGCTGGGCAGGAGGCTTTTTGCTTGTCACCCTCTGTGCACGCAGGGCTCCAGGCAAAAGGCGCTGCGCCTGAGAATCACGGTCAACCTTGCTGGAGGCCTTTGGGTGCCTGGAATCAGGACCATCCTCGTGAGTAGGCAGGACAGCCACTGGAGAGGAGCAGAAAGTCCTGTGCCCCCCCCCTGCTGAGGATGTGCCGCATTCCGTGTGCATGCCAGGAGCCTCCAAGCCTCCCTGTCCCCTCTCCGTGCTTCTCCTTTGGCTGCACTTTTGCCCGGTGCCGTTAAGTGTCCTTGTCCGAGGTGCGTGTGCTGCCAGTTCCCTTCGCCTTCTCCTCCAAGCCCCCCCACCATTGCTATCTAGCATGGGGGGGGGTGTCTCCTTTTTGGGCAGAGTCCCCCCCCGTCTCCCCACTTCCCGCCTGTCCGTGTTGCCTTTGCCACCCGAGCGTTGTGGGCGTGCTTAACTTCTGACTTGGCTTGTCTGTGGCCTGTTTCAGTGCGAGGAAGCAGCCTTTGAGGAGCGGCGGTACCCAGCTGGGAAGTGGGCGTGTGTCACCAAGGGGGAGCCCATGTATGAGCAGAGCATCTCCATGAGCTTCATGAAGCTCATGCGCTACATCTGCAAGGAGAACTCTGTAGGTGTGTGCAGGCAGGGGCTCGGAGGGGGCTGGCAGGCTGACGCAGAGGGAAGGGCCCCGCCGCGGGTCGTTCGGAGCCGGGGGGGAACGCGGGCTGCCGCTCCTGAGCCAGCTCTTTCACCCTCCCCGTTGCCTCCCTACCTCCTTCCAGGTTGCTACCTGGGCATGACAGTCCCGGTCCTCAACGAAATCCACCTGACCAAGGAGGGGACCCAGCTGGAGCGGGAGGTCGTCACCGCCTATTATCTCCCGGGAGAGTTCCAGCAAAACCCTCCTGTTCCTACGGACCCCGAAATCCACATCACCGAGAGGGCACCGCTCCGGGTTATAACCAGGTGACCCCAGCACCAGAGGTGGTTTTTGGTGGTTTTTTTTCAGCTCAGAGGAGGCGTTTGAACTCCCTGCGGTGGCCGCTGTGTTCCTTGGGCGGAGAGGGGTGGGAGTGGGAAGGGGGGGACGCGCTGGTTCTGCCGCTCACGCCGCTCCCTTTGCTGCTGCAGGGTTTTCTATGGGATGACCACCGAGGAGACGATTCTGCGAGAGATCGGTCTCCTCTGGGAGCTCCTGGGCTCCACAGACGCTGTGCTCCGGGAAACCTACATCGTGGCTGTTTACGAAAACCCCAGCGTCCCTCAGCGCCGCAACGAGATCTGGTTCATCTGCCGGGCGGAGTGAGAGTGTGTGTCCCCCCCCCCTTCTCTGTGACCGCAAACCGTCCTGCGACTGGACCTGGTGTAGATGGCAGTTCTGACCCAAAGGAGACGAATGCACATCCCGACCCACCATCCACCCACAAAACGACAGACGGGGAGAACCGCGGGGTGGGTTTGCGCTCTGCCGGGGCGGGGGGGGGGCAGAAAAAACCCCAACTGGTCTTCTTGCACTTCACCTACTTCCGCAGGGGCCAGCTGAGGCTGGAGCTGGCACCGGGGAGAGCCTCTGCAGCAGGCTCCTGGTGGGAAGCACGTGGTGGGGGGCTCGTGTAAGGCCGTGAACGGTGTGGGCTTGTGCAATGTGCTGGCCTGACCTGGGCTGCTGCTTCTCAGCTCTGAGTTGAGGTGGCAGAGCTGTGCCAGGCAGGCTGGTGGAGCTCGTGGACGGCGGAGTCGCCAGGTGATGGTGCGTAGAAGGCAAACGACTGCGTACGAGGTGTGGGGCTCTGTCTGGGCTCCAAGAACGGCTTCCTGTCCCGAACAGAGCCACTGAAATGCTGCTACAGGGACGGTAGGGTTTGAAGGGGGGGGGAAAGGGCTCGCCGCAAGCGAGATGTGGATCCTGAACGTTTCCTGCTGGGGTGGCTCTCTTTGGACTTCTTGGCTGCCTCCCTGGTTGTCACTCACCATCCCTCAGCCAGGACCGGGGCGCTGGCAGCCTTTGTCCGTCCGTTGTGGGTGCTGTTTGGCAGACCCTGCTGCGAGCCAAGGGGGACGGGTCCCGACGGCGGCAGCGGCGGCACTGCCCTGCGTTGCGTTGTGCATCGATCAGCGAGTTTCACATTCACCGATACCGTCACGCTTTCCTGGGGGAAGCTGGCAGTGCCAACAGTAAATAAACCCAGCTCCAACCACTGCAGCTGTAGATTGCTGATGGGGGGGGTGTGGGGTGTGGGGGGGTGTTGGGAAGAGCTTTGCCTTCTCCATCATAGAATCACAGAATCACATGGGGTTGGAAGGGACCTCTGGAGATCATCTCGTCCAACCCCCCTGCCAAAGCAGGGCCACCCAGAGCAGGTTGCACAGGAACGTGTCCAGATGGGTTTGAATGTCTCCAGAGAAGGAGACTCCACCACCTCCCTAGGCAGCCTCTGCCAGGGCTCTGCCACCCTCACAGGAAAGAAGTTCCTCCTCATCTTTAGGTGGAACTTCTTCTATTCAAGTTGGTGCCCATTTCCTCTTGTCCTGTCCCTGGGCACCACTGAAAAAAGACTGGCCCCATCCTTCTGGCACCCTCCTAAGTATTTATAAGCATTGATCAGATCCCCCCTCAGCCTTCTCCAGACTAAAAAGACCCAAGTCCCTCTGCCTCTCCTCAGCAGAGAGACACTCCAGGCCCCTCATCATCTCTGTAGCCCTCTGCTGTCCCCTCTCCAGCAGTTCCCTGTCCTTCTGGAACTGGGGAGCCCAGAACTGGTCCCAGTGCTCCAGATGGGGCCTCCCCAGGGCAGAGCAGAGGGGCAGGATGACCTCCCTCCACCTGCTGGTCACACTCTTCCTGATGCCCCCCAGGATGCCATTGGTCTTCTTGGCCACCAGGGCCCATTGCTGGCTCATGGGCATCCTATTGTCCACCAGAACTCCCAGGTCTTTCTCCTCAGAGCTGCTCTCCAGCAGGTCAGCCCCCAACCTCTACTGGTGCTTGGTAAATCCATGTTGACTACTTCAACTCTACCCTCCTCAAGATGCTCCAAGCTGCAAAGCTGTGTCTACTTAGAAGGGCTCTCACGTTTGCCCAGGTTATGGCGTTGTGCTCGGCCATTTATATGGCTGCTACAGAGAACTCTGGCCGCGTTCCCTTCCAGGTAAGGTGGTTTTCTGTAGGCTGGGCTTTGCTCTAGCCTCGTTTTTTCCCCCTTGTGCAATAAGTTGGCTCCTCTGACTGTACTGCAGGCAGGCACCTGATCTCGGGGGCCGAGAATTCAAATGTGAGGGGACGTCGTGCTGGTTGGCTGCAGGAACTGGTGTTACTTCTGCAGGGATGTGCTTCGCTGGCTCCATGTGGAGGGACTCCTGGCTCCTGTTTCCCAAGGAGTTTCCTCCCTGGTGGCGTGCCATCTGCCTCAGCTCCTGCTGCTGCTCAAACTCTGGCCCTTTGGCCCTGCAACGCAGCCAGCCGGGGGGGAACAGGGTGGGGGGAGGCCAGCTCTGCGGTCTCATTGCCCGAGCGGTGCAGGGGGCTTCTGCCACCCCATCCTCTGATCCAGATGCTGGTCACTGCCCTGGTCCAGGCTGGCTTGCCCTCTGGCAGCGATGCCCAGCCTGTGGCTGTGGAGAGAGCGGGGCCAGGGATCTTATACCTGCCTCTTTGAAGGAGCAAGGAAGCTTCAGGCAGAGCGTGGGCAAGCACAGCCAGAGCAGAGGGTGGTTGCCTGGGTGTCTCATGGTGCAGTCCTTTCTTGTCCCTGGGGCACTGAAGGCAGGCAGGGCTGGGGAGGTGATGGGACAGCCCGCAACTCTGAGGGCTGATGTGGCAAATGCTCTTCAGATAAGAGCGGCGATACCTGGCTTGGCTGTGCGTGTGCTGGGGGCAGGAGAAGCCATTCCCTTAGGTCAGGCTGGGATCAGGCGGCTGGGTGGGCTCAGAGCAAAGTCGGCCGGCATGTGTGGGGCAGAGGCATCACCGCACATCACCTGCCTGGCTTGCCTTGGGCTTGCAGGTGGAAGTGAAAACTTGCTTTCTAGAGCTCGCTGAATGGGCTACCGCTTCCTCTGAGGCTGCTCGGTCCCCAACCACAACCAGAACAGCTTTTGGTGGCAGGAAGCGGTGGTTTCCCTACGAGAGAGGACTGGTCTGCGGCTACCGACGAAGCCACGCGCCCCCGCCGGGGCGGCACCGTGGTCTCCCAGGGCTCTGCTGGAGGTGGTAATGGAACGGAGCTTCTTCTGGTGCAGCTCCAGGCTGGCACCACCACCACACAGGGCAGCAGGCGTGCTCCGGTCCTGTGCCACAGGCTTTGCTAAGCCGAGCCTTCAGCATCCTCCGTGGTGGATCCAGCATGGTGGACCCAGCATCCTCCTGATGGATCCATCAGGAGGTCTCTGATGGCGAGTCTTCCCTCCGGGTGGTAGGGCAAGCAGTCAAAACAGATGGAAAGCCAGCATTCAGAGCTGATGAGGCTCCATGGTAGGCTCCTTTGGTCGGGCAGGGAGTCCTCCAGGCGGCCAGGCCAGTTTGGGCTACCATGCCCGGACTTTGGGCAACGTGGAGGAGCACCAAGGAGCGGGGGCAAGGTGTCTCGGAGCTGGAGTTGCCTGCCCGGTCCTTCAGCGGGGCACGGAGCTCCTGCCTCCGGGGTGCCCCTGGGCTTTCAGGGGGTCCCTCCAACAGCGGGACAAGGCGTTTTGGGGGGGGGACACACACCTTCCACCACCGGTTTAACGAGGAGCCCCCGGGTGGGGAGGGCAGCTCCGCCGCTCCCCTCGGGGCGGAGGAGGAGTAGGGGGCACCCAGGGGTCCTGGGGTTCCAGGGGCGCCCCCGGGGGTCCCCGGCACCGCTGGAACCGAGCGAGGCACCCAACTAGGGGCTGCCCTCGGGGCCCCGCGTCCCCCCAGCGGGACAAGGCGTTGGGGGGGGGACACACCTTCCACCACCGGTTTAACGAGGAGCCCCCGGGTGGGGAGGGCAGCTCCGCCGCTCCCCTCGGGGCGGAGGAGGAGTAGGGGGCACCCAGGGGTCCTGGGGTTCCAGGGGCGCCCCCGGGGGTCCCCGGCACCGCTGGAACCGAGCGAGGCACCCAACTAGGGGCTGCCCTCGGGGCCCCGCGTCCCCCCCCAACCCCGCCCGGTTTCCGGTGGGTCGGCCCCTCCCCCGGAAGCCCCTCCCGGTGGCGGCGGCAGGCGGGGCGGCGGCGGCGGCGGCATGGCCAGGGGCCGGGGCTGGCACTGACCGGCTCGGCGGGGAGCGGTGCGGAGGATGGCGGCGGTGCGGGCGCTCCTGGTGCTGGGTGAGTGCGGGCCGGGCCCCGCGACAGCCTCACCCCCCC